GGAACCCGCAGAACAATGCCCAGTCTGCTGACGGTCTGACCTGTAAGTGATAAACCAATGAGAGCAATCTGTCACTGAGAAATGTAATGTTCTCTGATCACACAGTCGCATTGTCTCCCTCTACATCAGCCCTGCTGTAAATTGGCAGCAGCTAAATATCACGTTGGCTTGTCGGTGTGAAACTGCTCAGGCATCTTGTAATGTGTGCTGAAGATTTTTTTAGTCCTACATATCGTTTTAATAACAGTCCTATGATTTGACATCAACATTTTGAGTAGCTGTAACAAATGCAGTTCAATTAACATTAAACAGTATTTGAATGAGTGAAAGCATCATGGTACAGCTAGACTGAATGTAATTAGAAGAACTGGCAAGCAAATAAACTGAAACCTAGAAGGAGCCACATCTGACTCAGTTTCTCAAGTGCTGCCTACTGACAGTAGGCAGTGAATATCATTTGAGTTGACAATTAAATTGCTGCCAGGTTGTCTGTTTGTGTAACAGATTTTTTTATTCAGAGAAATTAGAGGTTATATCACGTGTTGTTGATCATTCTCTCTTCTAACCACTAGGTGCCATCAGTGACATGGAGATGCAGGAGCACTATGATGAGTTTTTTGAGGTAACTCATGTCCTTCTTATGCCCTTCTGAAGATTGTCTAATGTAGTGCAGCTCTTCCTCAAACCGTGACCACAACACTTTTAGACTGACACATTTTCTGTAGCTGTGTTTAAGAAAACAAATTGAGACTCCTGCTGTATGTTCAGCTACAACAGTGTACAGCAGTTGGGAAGTTTAATACATTCTTTTACATAGTCTTACAATAAGGATTAAATATTAGTGAATCAAGATCAATCATCAAGATGATTAAAGTTCTTCTGCAGAGTTCTGAACAGTGTCCAGTCTTTACACCATGCCTTTAATCATTGTAGCATCTCACTTTTCAGCACCTGGCCAGTAGTGCCTGTGACTTATCGCAGTCTACATTTAAACTTATCTAATTTTCTCAAATGTCAGACTTTTCCTTTAATATAACTGTTGTAGTGAATGCTCATAATGAAATGTTTTTACTCCACCATCTTCGCAGGAGGTCTTCACAGAGATGGAAGAAAAGTATGGAGAAGTAGAGGAAATGAACGTATGTGACAACCTTGGGGACCATCTAGTAGGAAATGTGTATGTGAAGGTGAGAGTTGGGTCTAACAATCACATTTGTCTCTTTTAATGCGCGCCATGACTTTCCTGTTAAACTAAACTTGGTCTGTCTTGATTGTCTCACTTAGTTCCGTTATGAAGAGGATGCTGAGAAGGCTGTGATAGACCTGAATAACCGGTGGTTTAATGGTCAGCCCATCCATGCTGAGCTCTCTCCTGTCACAGACTTCAGAGAAGCCTGCTGTCGCCAGTATGAGATGGGGTGAGTGCTACGGGATGGAGCAGAACTTCTCACCCTGTTTTTCATCGTATGTGATGCGACGTTTCCTTAACAAAGGACTTTTCTCTGGTGTTGCTGAAGACAGTTTTATTTTTTTTAGTATCCACTTTGAATGTACTCCCTAGAAAAGCACAGAAAAACCGTTTAATCCTCTCCCAGACAATCCTGGTTTAAATACTCTTTATCATGTCTTTAGTGGTTTACAGGTTTTAACCGCGGGCGTTTTGTTTCAAGTCACTGGCATTAACAGTTACCTCTTCACGTCAGCGTGCCTAAGCTATACTGTCATAGCTCCTCTGTGAAACTAGACTTTGCTCCTGACAGTATTACATTTCAGATGTGATTCTTCTTTCATGCTGCTCTATTTTTCTAACTTCATAGAGCTGCTCTCTCTCCACAGGGAATGCACTCGTGGTGGCTTCTGTAACTTCATGCATCTGAAACCCATTTCACGCGAACTGAGGAGAGAGCTCTACGGGCGTCGTAGGAAGAGGTACAAACGTCACATTCCTTTTACATCCAGGAACTTCAGCACACCTGCCTGTGTAGTTATTCTATAGAAAGTCATAATGACTAACTCCTCACTTCTGCAGCCGCCACAGGTCTCGGTCTCGATCGAGAGAGAGGCGATCTCGCTCGAGGGACAGAGGTCGAGGAGGAGGCGGCGGCCGCGACCACGAGAGACGTCGCTCCAGAGACAGAGAGCGTTCAGGACGATTCTGAACCACAAGCCATGACTACTTTACCCTTCCTCCCCGTATTCATGCCCGTCTTTTTTTAAGTTTGTACCATCGCAGATCTGTTCTAGGACTAACTGAAAGGTACCCAGTTGTGACGCTGTGACAGCTTGTTTTTTTTCTTGATTTGTGAAAATGACTTTCACCTCATTAAATTTAAAATTTTTACTTAACGAGACTGATTTCATGAATCTTTATTTTTTACTTATTACCTCAAAAAACTCAACACACCCACTGGTTCTTCCTATTACATCCAACACATAGTTTGTTATTCAGCTGTTTTCAGAATACAAATGAGATGTTGATCACTTCATTGAACACAGGTGAGAATTAGCAGTCCAGGACTTTTTCACTTTTCTATCGGCACTTTCGGAAAGAAGATTAAGTTTAAATGCATATAAACACACCATGTAATAAATGATTTAAAAACTGAAAAGTACATAAATCATTCAGTCATTCTCTAGAATTGTGATAAAGAACATGATATTGTTATGTTTTTTTCTTGCAGGACTTGTGTTTCTAAATTGTGCTCCTGTGTAAGTCAGGAATTACTGCTGCTTTATGAAGCAGCTGTTCTGGCCTTATAGTTGCTGTAATGATCAACTTTCTCAGGAACATCAATGGTTGTTCCACAACACTACTGTGATGAAATCTAACAGGAAGTTTCTACATAGTTCTGTTGTAATTGTTCTATTTTACTGATGGGAGCAGCAGCTGCCAAGTTACAAACTTGAGGGTTCAGAACAGTCGTACACAAACCATCGCATGGGGCCTCATGGTTGCAACATCCATTTTTTAAATAGGCAGTCTACAAGTTTGTGTACACTAAGGCCTTGCTGTATAGAGCGCCAGTCTTCAATGTGTCCACCTTTGTAGCCCCCGTTATGCTTGAAGATGATGCCAACGTGTGCAGATGAATCACAGCACCATAGAAAAGACGCCCCTTCTCTGCTGTATGATTCTCAAGTTGACTTTACAAGTGCTTTACGTGTTTCTCATTCACCCATTCACATATAAATTTATACACACATGATGACGGAGCTGCCATGCAAGGTGCTGCCTGCACCTGAGCAACTTCAGGTTCAGTGTCTTGCCCAAGGACACGTCATTCACCAACCTTGCAATTAGAGGACAACCGTTTCACCACCTGAGCCGAAATTTAACTTAAAGACCCTAAAAATGTAATTACTGATGTTTTTAGAACCGGTTAGGTTCCCCTTTAGTTAAACATTTAATTCTTTTAATAGATTTTACAGTGCTTTTATTTATTTATTTATCTTCCCTGAGTGTGATAATTGTGTTTCCTTTCTTCAGTATGTTGTGCTGCAGCTATGAATGTCTGTTCTATACAATATGCAAATTGAGCTGTGCAGGTACACGTCCCTGATTGGTGGATTCTTTTTATGTGTTCCTACGCTGTGATTTTACCGGTTAGTGGACATTTCATTTCATTAAGTGGAACACTGTGAACTGTCGTACAGAAGCTTTGGTGAGATGAGTGTATGAGCAACCTGGAGGAAGGAAATGTGACATTACAGAGCAGATCCTTGTGTTTCATCCAACTGACAGGCGAGTCTGCTGCTCTTTAGCTGGAGCTCGAAGGATTTGGCATCTAACGCAGTTCACAGGTAAGCTCGTTTTTGCACCGCTGGAGCGAAGTAAACTACGACGTTTTATCTACATGCAGCCGATTAAATATATATCGTAAATGAGGACGACTCTGTTTTGGTTTCGCCATCAAACACCCTCAGATATGTTAGACTGTGTTTAGTGCATCTCTTTCATTTAATCAGTGTTATCTTGCTGTGTCTGGGTCAGAAGCCCGGATTTATTTCACTGTAAGGCGCATTTTATACTACTTTTGTTAATAAATAAATAAACACTTTGTCCAGTGTGTCAACATGCTGAGTAAAGTTAAATGAACATTTTATTGTTTTTATTTTATTACATGAAGGTAAAAATATCACTAATGATGACTGTCATTATCAATCAGTCAAGCTGTCAGTTATTATCTCGGTTTTTTTTTTGTCCATAAAATACCAAAATACATGTAAAAATGCCCATCACAATTTGTGCAATTCTTGTTTGCGTTTTATTCATATTCCACACATATTTACCGTACCATTTTAAAATGATCAATGCATTTTTGAATAAGCTGCAGACTGATTTTTTGATGGTCAGGTAATCGATTGATCATCTCATTTTCCTTTTAGGCCTTTATCACAGAGTGCAATGTCACAGGTCACAAGAGGAAGATCTTATGTGTCAATAATACAAATAAATCCTAGCTGGAGTTCATTTGGCTACGTCAGTTTCAGGGTCCTAATATTGTTCATGCTGAATCAGTGTAACACTGTTATGAATCACTTGACTATAACAGAGCTGTCCGTATAAGCAACACTTTTCTGATCACTTATTTGTGATGGAGACGGCCGTTTGTGGGCTCCTGATTCAGCTCAGTTAGATTAAAACAGGTCAGGCACCAGACCAGGAGTCACTTCCATTAACCTATTTAAAACTGCTGTTCTAAATTTAGATAGCAGCAAGGCTCTGATATTTTTAATGCTCATGAAAGTACATATTTTGCATATAGTCTGCTCACAGCTGCGAACAAATTCAGTACTAAAACAAGGAGAAAGACATTTTTTCTTGTACATTTAGGACCAGCGTCACTGTGACTTACTGATCTTCTGATTTGTTAAGGACATACTGTCATAGGGGTAAACCCACATTACATGCACCTAATCAAGTAGAACAATGTTGGTGTTCAGTTATAGATGTTTAAAGGTTTTGTGTAATACTTGTCCCTTCTTGCTGCAGGTGAGCCATGCCTTCTGTTTCTGGCAGTGCATGCTTGGAAGATGATCCCACAGATAACTCTTGCGGTGAAAAGTCTTCCAGTGCAGACGAGGATGCTGTAACAGTGACCAGTGATAACAGGTTATCTGCAAGTGAGAGTGAAATGGAGAACATAGAAGTTACTGCTAATCAGATGGACTGGATTCGCCCTGATTTGCCCAGCAGATGTACCTGGAGGCTGGACGCACCGGTTTCAGAGTCACCTCATAGCCACCTGGATCGGTAAGAAGCATACTGATGAGAAATTAAACACCTGAAAATAAATTGGAGGGTAGTGAAAGCAGGAGTACAGAAAGCATGCAGTGAAACTCATCCTAACATGACCAACCTTCGTCAGATTCCCTCTACTCTTCGCTATGTTAGGGGCCAAACAAGTAGAGTGGAGTCAAAAGTTTTGTGTACCTCCCATGTACGTGCATTAGTGTTCCCTTTCAGTCTTTAACACTTTAAATCGTGGGGGTCAGGCTTTCTATATCATTATTCTTTTTCTGCATTGGTGTACAATTACATCCCACCATTTTAATGTAGAAAAAAGCAAACTCCTAATGTGTAGCTTGATACACACAGGTAAGATTTTCAGGTTTGAATCAATGACAAAAATATTTGTCTTTTTGATAGCAGGAAACATACAACTATAAGTAATGTTAATGAAAGATCAGTTCTTCCACTGAGGCAGCATGCACAAACTTCTTACTACAGCCGCCACATAACTTGAGTGTAGCTGCTTTAAAGGCTTTGAACACTGGCAATCCACTTTTCTAAGCACTGTTTAATTGTATTATAATGTAATATTGCTGTTTAAAGAGTTTTTATACAATATAACTGAAAAGTGTTGTGTTGCTGGGCAGAGTCTTTAGTGTTAATAAGTTTCATTTGTTGAAGAAGTAACATGACCATTAAGGAGAAAGGTTGCTGTCATAACTAGCTTAGATATTTCCTCCTCTATGCATCACAGCATCAAGCCTCCCAGCATCCTCCCCAACATCCTTGGGAAAATTGGACACACACCTCTGGTTCGCTTGAACAAAATCCCAAAGGAGTTCGGGCTCAAGTGTGATGTTTGTGAGTACAAACGATAAAATGTGAAGCTTCCACATACACGTGGATCTCTGTGTAACATTCACAAAACCCTTCTTATCAACGATGCCTGTGACCACAAACTGTTGGCTGTGACTATGAACTGTATTTGAGGTTAAGATCGTTTATATGTCCTCAGTCTCTAACCGATTCGACTTGCTGTCCTGCAGAAGTGTTTGTGGAATCTTGTCTGCATACTTATCACACAGATAATTTGACATATAAAAAGTATGAGGAATAAGAACAGAACTCTGGAGACGCTCCAGACTCCTCTAACAGCAGCGCTACTGTTAGAGGGAGAGCGAGAAAGTTGAGACATTTAATGTGTTCAGTGGGATGAAAACAAAGTGCTGCCTGGATGTGACTGTAGCTCAGCAACGGTTTAGAGTGAAATGTCACCTGGCGTACAATCTTTGTGTACAAGGACGTTTTTCAGGGGAGAAGTCATTCAAGCACATCCAGGTTGGGGAGCCATCTTTGCTTTAATAAGGGGTTGTTGATAACACTGTGTTCCATGTTGGCTTCCTGCTCACTTGTTAAGAAGGGTGAAGTATCACGTAGCTCGTGGCCTTCTGTTGGCCAGAGGCAGGGGCAGGGAGGTGAAAATGAAAGACTCATTGTTCTTTTGGCCAACACGAAAACACACATCCAGAAACAAAATGCAGCTTGATTCTTGAAACGTTTCCCTATATTTGATTCTGGTACAGTGTCTCCTCAGCTGCATCATTTAGAACTGGCAGCTACAAAATTGAAGGATGTGATCTATAGCAGACGTAGCCTTTAAGCAGGACAATTAGGAACAAATGAACTTCTATAAATCCAATCCAGCTTCAGAAATTGCCTTTTACATTTTCTTCAGTATCAAAGTGATCCAGTGAGCGTTGTCTGTACATTAATGTGTAAACTACAGTATATACAGCAATGGATAATAGCTAATTTGACACAGCCTCAATGTCACTATTTTGCCAAACTGCAAACAAAATGGGCTCAAAACACGACTCAAACAGTACCTACACATAACAGATTTTACAATACATAACTATCACATTTCAGCAAATATATGTAGTTCATGTCAGAACTTTTTGTGCATTCTAATTTGATATGGGAATGTCACAGAATTCACAGTGCATCCGTTGTTTTTAACTCATGTATATGATGAGTTTGTCAGACAACATTGCAGTTCTAAAAGTAATGTAGTGGTGCAGCTTGGAAGCTTGGAAACGGCTCTGAAGTGACTGCTGGTTATCATGTAGTCTTAATGAGACACAAATCAGTCATTATTCTGTTTTAGAGATAAAAGAAACACAAATTTGTGAAGGAGAAGAGCTTTATTTGTAATGAAAATTCAGTATGTGTGAGCACAGAGAGCAGGAGAGAAGTAACATTTCAGTCATGTATCTCTTATTCTCCTAGCTTTTATTTTACACCTCCAAGTTTTTAAGACATACGAAACACAACTAAAATAGATTTTCCCCATATGTGACCTTTCATTTCTGTCTGTTGTCGTGCTGGTTCCGTCAGATTGGCATTTTGAGCTTTGTCCACACTCACACGAAAACTGAATTTCATGCTAGAGTCATAAAATCCAACAGCTCTGTATGTTCCATTGCTTGCTGGGGCAAACCTTTCACCTGGTGTTCACATGATCAGTTAGTATTCTTGCTGTGGGAAAAATATACTCCAAATCACTTTAAATCATAGATTACAAATTTTAAATGCATTACAGCAATTGAACCTTTTAGATCAGCCCTGAACACACTCAGTCATGTTTTCTTTTGGGTTACTGTGTTTAGTGGCCAAGTGTGAGTTCTTCAGTGCAGGAGGCAGCGTGAAGGACCGCATCGCCCTGCGGATGGTGGAGGATGCTGAGAGAGCCGGGATCCTCAAACCAGGAGACACGATCATTGAGCCCACCTCTGGAAACACAGGCAGGTCAAAGAAAAATGAACAGTTGATGGTAATTGTTGTGATGATAACAGCCAGTCGTTTAAATCCTCCTCCTCTGGGCTACCTGCAGGTATCGGCCTCGCCCTCACAGCTGCAGTAAAAGGCTACCGCTGCATTATAGCCATGCCTGAGAAGATGAGCAAGGAGAAGGTGAGCGGCTCTGTTTATGGACACAACTTTTGATTGGTTAAATGTGGGGCATTCAGTTAAATGAAGTCTGATGTTACTGTGTGTTTTTTTTTTTTAGGCGAATGTGCTGAGAGCTCTTGGAGCAGATGTTGTGCACACACCTACATCTGCGGCTTTTGATTCTCCAGAATCTCATGTACGCACGGCCTGGCGTCTGAAGAATCAGATCCCCAACTCGCACATCCTCAACCAGTACCACAACGCCAGCAACCCCCTGGCTCACTATGACACCACAGCTGAGGAGATACTGGAGCAGTGTGATGGTTCGTGACAGATACACTGACCGTTGTTACTGATTAAGGGTTGGTGGTACATTTATGTTGTCAGTGAGTTTAGTTCAACAACTAAAGGAGAGGAAAAAGACATTTACACTTGTTTACTCTTTCTTTAGACTCCCGTTAGCTTCCATAGAGCGGTCTAGTATTACTGGTGCTCACACAAAATCAGCAACAATTTTACAATCACACAGTATCAATAAAGCAGCAAGACTCAAAGCAGACCCAACACGAAGAGCAGAAAACATATGAAAACACAAATGAAAAAGCAGAGGGTGGAATCTGACTGTTAAAACCACTGGTGCTTTTGAAAAAGAAAAGAAATTCCTTTACAAATAAAGAGTTAAATCAAATTAAATGACTTGAAATGCATGTTTAAAACAACTTGAAGTGATCAAAGTGTTGTACATGTTATCAGACAGGCAGCAACTAAATTATGTGCAAACATCAAGACATTATAAGACTTGAAAAATAAGTTTGCAAAGTAAAACAAAGTAGTATAAAATACAAAAACAACTGAAACAGGATAGCAAAAAATAAAGTCAATATGAAATAGTAAGAACATTAGAAACAGCCAAAGCCTCTGAAAACATGTTTG